TTCCCTTGGACAGATATGATGACATTTCTTTGAGAGGCAGTGCTGAAGACAGGAGCTCTACACTTTACACTAGATGTAAAAGCAAAAAATAACAAATGTATAAGTATAAAAACAAAACAACAATACCCAAATCAAGATACAAGCAATATATACTAACAGACAATCATTTAATACAATACAAGTAACAACTGTATAAGTATTAAGTGAAGAACAATACAGTTCCCTCAAATCAAGAGACAAGTGAATAATGGACAGTCGTTTGAATGCCTTACGTTTGTGAGGCTATGTTAAACCCATCTGCAGTCTTTTCACATTCCTTGCTATCTATCATAATACTAGCAATATCTGATGACGTTTGTCCAAAATCAGTTCCAACAAGTTCAATGACCTCAGTGTAATCAGGCTCAGGCTGGTTCATTACCGTAGCAACTGAAAGAGGTATAACCTAATAAAGGAAAAATACAGTATCATGATTTTCGGCATCTAAAGATAATATTTTAAAAAATGTTATTATAGTTCAGGCATACAAAACATTGTAAAACATTACATTTAAAAACATTTAAAAAAAAGGGAAAAAATAGAAGAAAAGAAGATCAACTGCTATAGACAAATAACATTAGAAATTACATTTGACACAAAAATGAATTAATATTTGAAAATTAGGAATTAAAAAAAACTGCAACTTTAGAATCAACAGTTGAGGGCGCTGTTTGATTATTTTTACCTGAGTAATTACAGGAGCTGGACAATCACTTATATTTTTTGAACAGAATGAATCATATACACACCGGTCTCCACACCAGACGCAATTAAGTTGTGGTCTAGTAGTATTGTTAGAATGACACCGGCTGCAGTCTGGACGCTGCACTGAACATTTGTACAGAGTAACTAGAAACAATCAAGACAAATATGTAAACTTACACTATCTGTGTTCCTGCAAACAACTCCCTACCTTTCAAAACAATAATAATACAGCACTCTAGGCCCTGTGAGATAATAATAGCTTCCTACTGAATAAACCCTCAAATAATTATATATTTGTTTGCATACATTCTTAGTAATACTGTCAGGTTATAATTGATTTTAAAATTATTGTCAAAGGTCAAAGGGTAAAGAAGTCAATATTCTAATAATATATCAGTAGTGAAACAAAGTCTCTTTAAACTTGTCATATGAGGAAGAAGTCCAGCTAGAAGTTGGCAGTGAGTTTCAAATGGTGGAAGTTGATGAGTAAGCCACAAATATTAACATTTGAAATATGAACACATTAGATTAACGAGACAAACAGAGGAAACTATTAAACTTTTTCTTGTTCTTGACCTTTGTTTTATTGGATGTTAGCCTAAAATGATTGTCAATGTTGGTGTATTGTGCACTGTTGCTCCCTTAAAATTTGTCCTGTCAACTCCACTTTGTTATTAGCAATTCCTAAAGCTGAAAAACCGTAGCAGTTGATAATATATGTAATTATGTAAGATGATTTTTTTTATGGAATGGAACTTTACTATTCTTGTTGCTATAGGTGTAGACCAATTTTCTATGGAAAAACAAAACAAAAACCCAAAAATCAGTTTTCAGAAAGAAAAAAAAAATCAGTTTTCAGAAAAGATAAATTATCACCAATCATTTGTATCCACCAATTATTTGTATAGAAAGCTAACTGGTTGGATATTAATTTTTGACGCCCTTTTAAAAATTCATTTCTACCATATGCTTGCCAGATTTTAATGATCACTTTCCTAAATAATTTCACTGTTTAGGTGGTAGTTTTATAACCATTTCATGGTTTTCCATTATTTAGTTAAAGTTTTTTTTGGTGCTATTGTATTTTGTGTAGTATTTATATATTTATTGTGATTCGTACGTGATATTGTGTAAGCTCAGGAAAACAAACTTCAATAAATTCAATCTTTAATCTTATAAAATTCAGGGAAAAAGATGTGTAATTGACATGTTCACACAATGTTAACTGTAACTAACTTTGGAATCTGTAAAAAAAACAATTATTTTTAGTCATAGAAAGTGCTGTGCAAACATTTCTCACTGACTATATTATACGTTATAACTTCCTTGTAACACTTCCTGGTACCTCTTCCGGGTTCAATGGATGTAACACATGTTAATTTATGTCAATTTTGGTATATTTTTATTATATTAACATTGCACAAGAAAAGATACATAAAAAATGTGATATTTTAAAAGGGTTTCAAACTCAAGAAAATGAATGTGGGTAGATTGCATGTCTGTCAAGAATACATTCACCTACAGAAAGGACCAGTTGGTACCAACCTTGATAAATGTTGTCAATGAAGTTGCTATTATTCCAAACAATCTGAATATTTGCAGTTAGTTCCTGTTCGTCAGCTACATAATCATACTAAATGAGATTTTAAAAGAAAACTGAAAATAAAATTCTGAAAAAAAATTGTAAGTGTAGCCACATCAAAATTTAAAATACAAATGACAAAAGAACTTAGAATCAGAGTCTCTTTGGAGGTGCACTGGAAGGCTAAATGTTTGAGGATATTATACATTTATAGTTAATCTTTAAAGTGCAGAGTAAAGATGTATCAAACAAGGATAAAGTCTTACTGTGTATTGGGAACAAGTAATATTAGGTTTCTCAACAGACGCTGGAATATTTGATGTTTTCCCCTCAATTGTCAGCACACACTCATAGTCAATGGGGACCTGAACAAAATTATGAATACAAAGAAAAATAAATAAGAAAAAATGTTGAACTTGCTGTCAGATTGAAACCAACATAAAATTTGTTTCAAAAAACACTGGTAACAAATCAAAAAAATTTAAATTATAAACCTAAAACATTTTGTTTTAATTGCTGACCTAGATATTTAAATTTAATATGAAATGACAATAAAAATATTATTTTACTAAGAATAAAAAAAATGCACTGTTTTGGAATACAAAATAATTATATTTAATTTGAAAAAAATAAGTATTATAGAGAACCTGTAAAAAAAACCCAAAACCAAGGTTTAGTCTACAATACTCAGTATTATTATTTAAGATAGTTTATTCTGGCAGCCCCGCACTGATTGCATAAGTAGTAAATGTAATTCTAGAATGTACTTCCTAAAATGAAGAATTAAGAGCTGGTCTTAATATCTCATATCAGTTCCAGTTTGGGGACAATATCACTCATAAATAAAGCAAAGTAGAGGAACAGGTCCAAAGAGGAGTGCTTAATTGTATCCTCCCCACTCCCCCCCACCTAAAAATTGTATTATAGATGTTCAATGTATAACCTGGATCCCTCTCATGATGAATAATGTGAATCAATATTACTAGGTACAGTGTACAAATAGTTACTACAGTATTAAGGAGCTTTTGATTTGTGCGACCATGCGACGCTAGAACGAAATCACTCATGCGTGACCGTCCTACCTGGCGTCTTACGTTCTCTGCATTAATACATTTGGCCAAATTGCGTTCCAGAACCTACTCGATGAGGTGAAATTAACGTTCTCGCATGCGTAAATGACTTTTAGTGAAGTCATTACGTTCTACGTCCTACCGTCGTTGTGCAATCGAACGCCCTCTAATAACAAACGATGTATGACATGACCTTTAACACTTATTTCTTACTTTTGTTGCATTTGGTAAATTTTTAACAGGTATACGGACTTCTTTCACCAGACTGGCATGAATCAGTTCTTCATTGGTTTGACGGATAATTTGTGGACAAGAACCATAACCTTGCATACCACCAGGAGCTGGCGTCACAGTTGCCTTATTAAAATAAATATGCAGATATTGAAATATTTATAATGTAATTAGAGAAACTCTTCAAAAATCTCATTAAAAGCATATTTACATTTAAAATTATAATTTTAGTATTACTCACATTGCCATTCAAGATCACTTGATCATCCGCATTACAGAATGCTGGAGCATTTTGGGTACATGTGTTGCCATAGAGACACCAATCACAGGTAAAGCTGGTAACACATTCGGAACAACTTGAATAAAAAAGAGGGGAGCTTTAGCTTGAGTCCAAATCCATGTCCAATCCCTTCACCTCTTAAACCTTAAACTTATTATAGGGCACCCCATAATTTAAGTGTTACTCTAATACTTGCTGTTGATATCTTCATACAGTGGAAGTGCACACTTGTGTCTGTATACTTTATATTACTATACCACACATGATATTAAAAATATACCATGTCCTTATGCAAACCTTAAAAAGTTAAATACTTGTTATTTGGTATTACTGGAGCCTTTTCTTTGGGTACAAAGGGCTCTGTTTTTCCTGGTCATTGGGCCATACACAAGTACTGTAGTGTTGTTGGTGCAGTAACAGGCAACCCCACCAGGTACCCATTTACACTCCTGAGTAGAGAGAAGCAATGCAAATAAAAGTGCCTTGCTCAAAGACATAAGCAAAGTGCACAGGGAGGGATTCAAACACCCCAACCTGGAAGATGGGAAACCAAACCATTCCTGTTGCACCAAACCACATTCTTATACAACAGCAAATGACTCACCATTTACAGAATAGAAGTGACATGCTCTGTTACAGTAGTATAAAGGCTTTAAGGGAATGTAGCTTTGTGAAAAAAACAATTCTGGTGATACAGGATTTGAATCCAGGACTAAATAAGATATATATTCCTATTCAAGGTAAATATACAGATAAAAATAAAACCTGCACATTTGCAGACCTTTCACTAGTTAAAGTAGTGTATGCATTGAATCATTATTATTTATTGTGTCTGTAATTTGGCCAGAGCATTATAAAACAAACCAATCTAAATATATTTTCTGTTAATTGTTTAGCTCATGCTGTGGTTTGGTAGTGAAGTTGCCCTACTTTAAATCCTAGGGCTTGAGTTCAATCAAGGGAAAAAATGTATGACTTTTCTCACAACAATAACTACACTTCACTGAAAAGTCAAAAAGACAAGGTTCTAGAACACTATACTTTTTTATTATAAAGACAAATTACATTAAATACTTAATAGTTCACATGCTAAAATTTACATAATCAATAACAAACTAGAATTAGAATCTTTTTGATCAAATAATCTTTTTCCCACACTAGTTGCCTTTAAATGGTTCAAAACTATTCTGGTAATTATAATTGGTGCAACCACAATTGTGCCAAATGCATTGTTCATTTCACAGTTCAAATACAAGCAATAGGTTTGAAGTGAGGATTCTCCTTTATTATATAATAAAATTACATGTACAATGAACAACTCACGATAACAAACAATTTTGACATTACACAATTGATGGTCACAATAACCATCTTTGAGAGTTGTGGTGGATTTTCTTGATGACTCAGTGAACAAACACAGTGGAATTTTATCAGTTTGTATACACAAGAAACAACTACTAAATGATACAAAGGACTGAACTTCAACAAGACAGGTTCTTGGTATATTTACTCTGAGATGCTATTTGCTTTTATTTCCTCAAAATCGTATTACAAATTTTTCTACAGATTAAAATTGATTTACTTCCTTGTAAATTATATGTCTATATTTGGTGATTAAAATTCAGAATATTGGCTGTTTTCATTTTAAAATTTCATTTTACTATATATTTTTGGGTATAATGTATTAATTGTCCATATATAAAATAATGTAAAGTAATCTTATTCTAAAATGTAGGGTTTACAATTGAATTAGTATGTAACAACAGTAAATTGTTCCATATGATAAATGGAACAGTGTAATATTTAACTCATTATTACTAATATATTTGTAATGAGTTGAACATTGTTTTAATTGGTAATTTAAATTATGAAAAAACATAATCAGATGGTACAAAATAATAAAAATAGTAATGAACAGTGCAATGACATACAGTAACTGTACATACAATTCAGTTTATTTATATTTTAAGATATTCACAGCCTGTGTTGGGCTAAATTCAAGGAAATGGCATAAATAAGAAAGTTATTATTTTATTATAAAAATCTGTGCAAAAACTAAACTGTTTTTAAAGTCATTGAAAGCTAATAAGCTTAGTTGATATTTTCTAGGAGCCATTTTATTTTTCAATTGCCTCTTTGAGTCATTTTCTCATATATTTTATTACAGGCAGTGTACTTGACACAGTGTGACAGTGTACTTGAAACAGTTACAATAGACTGGAATTCATAGCTGACAATATGCAAACTTCATTTAAAAAAAATACATGATGCAAAGACAAATACAGTAATGATTGATCCAAACTAATTTGTATGAAAATAAAATTTTCTAATAATGATATAACACAATACATTATATTGTTTATATATAACATTTTCAAATTTAAATCAACAATTTCTTTATAAAATTAGAAATTACTAATATAATAAAAGTCATACAGTAGTTTGTAAGTTTTCAAATCTGTGATGCTTTACTATAAAGAGAAATAAATATAATATAAAAATACAACATTATACAAAATAAAATTAAAGTAAAAAGTAATAAATTGTTTTTTTGTTTCAATGAAGATTACAAAAATAATACAAAAGTAATGCAATCCAACTTACGATGTAATGGCACTGCAATCATAGAACCTGAATTGAGTGGTAACAAAATCAACATCAGTTTGAGATGAATGCACAGATAACGAAACTTCCACAGCAGCTAAAAAGATGACACAATCAACTGAATTAAAAATATACTGCTCAAGAAATTAATTTAAAACAGTCATTAATTATTAGATAAAATAAATTATAATCTGGTATTGAAAAAAAAATATCAATGCTGTCATCTCACCTTCTTTGTTTGGTATCTGTGGCACTTGTGTTTTAGGTGGTGATGTGCAGGTGATCGTTTTTCCATCTTTCAGTCCAGGTGACACAAAATCACCAAATTTACAACTATAATTTTGGTTGGCATTTAATGGTGGGAGCTGCTCAACAGTTAATTTTACCTATGACAAGAAGAGAGAAAAATAATAATTCTCTGCATCTGGTGTTGCTATTGACATTCTTGCACTGATCTCTTTCTCGCAATATCCATCATGTGTCAGTAGGCTCCTTCAATACTTGTATTGGCTAGTTCTAGGGGTTTCAAATTCAAATTCAAAAACTTTTATTTTATTTTTTTATTGTTTATAAAACATACAATTGGAAATTTGTTGTTTGATGCACTATATAAAATAGAAAAAAGTTAATAATAAAAAGTCAACACAGAAAATACAAAAGGTTGAACACACAATATGACAAGATAAAATGCCATAAAAATTGTAAAAGCATTTAAAAATAAGACCTACATTTAAAACATAGTGTAAAAATAGATTTAAAAAAAAAAAATTAGAATCACCAGAAAAACGAAATAGGCCGTTGAAAATATAAGATAAAGAACTTATCACAAAGCAACAGCCTAAGGGCGAAGCAACAGCCTAAGGGCGTAGCCCCGAGCAGAGGTGGCTAGGGAGGGGTTGTATCCCTCAGTACGTATGGAAAAAAATAGAAAATTATGAACTTTTATAGTGCATTTAAATGTGTTTAAATGTTGGAATGTCTTTAAAGGAATAGTGTTGATTTAGCTATCACAAAGATATTTCAGTTATAGACATACATGGCCACAGCTGCTATTTTTTACTCACATTATTTTTCTAGGCTATGCAGATGCATCTTAACCCTTTCACTGCTGTAGGTATATGCACCCCCTGTGCTGGGACTTTTTTTAACGAAAAAAGTTAATTTTTAAAATAATTCAAAAAATACTAAAAGAGGTTATTTCGAAATTCTTTTTGTGTGTTGGGGCAAGCAATAGGTTTGCCTACGCGAGGAACATTGATATTTGGTATTTTGCATAATTAGGTAGTCATGTGACCTCAAAGTCGCCATTTTGAATTTCTGTTTTTTCTCAAATTTTGATAAAAAACCCAATTTTTCCCAATGATATTTTTATGGAATGTTTTTTTTTTTACTTTATAATGATGCAGCCACACAAGATGAATAAAAACAAAAAAAAAAATGAGTTAGTTTGATCGTTTTATTCCAAAACCGCAAATAATCAACGTTTTTCTTCAAAATTGTGAAAATATAAAATTTTGCAGAAAATCACTGTTAGATGTACTTTTTGCCATACGTTTTTATTTATGCTTTATATAATCCAGGTTATAAATCTAAATGCATCGTTGCAAACATCATACGGTTACTTTATTTTAGAACTATAAAAATTAGCCTGTTCTATTGTGTGAAATGTGGAAAGGAAATCTTCGGACAAGGCATTGCACCTTGACCCTGTGCAGGGCCTCCCAAGTTGAGAGAATCATCGTTTTCGTCCTTAGAATCACTGTCGTCACTATCATAGTCGACTGGGGGAAAAGAAATGCAAGAATCACCCAATTCAAAGTTATCTTCACTATCCGTATCTGCAAAGATCTGGTCCATAGCTTCGTCGACATTGTACCGTCTGTTTTGAGGCCGTGCACCCGCCATTTCGCGCCTAACCACTCGAAAACACTTTTTTCCGATAAAAGGTTAATTATAGTTCATAGAAAAAAACTATAGAGGGCGCAGAACCTCTTCATGATTTTTAACAATATTTTTTCTACATACCCGGTAGTACCGGGTACGCGCAATTCAACATTATGTGTTTATACCCGGTATTACCGGGTACACGCAGTGAAAGGGTTAATCTCTCGCCCTAGTCTAGTTTAAATTTTACTCTAGGTCGTCCGAATCGAGAGATGTACAGTATAGGCCTAGGCCTACTCTATTTTGTTGACTATCAAAATTGAACTTGTGATGTTAACAACAAATCTGCTTTACGGTATTTTATGAATTTTATAACCAGGAAGTTACGAACAAGAACCATAGCTCGAGGAACCGAATCTCAAATACTGTATTTGCAGAGCCACGTGCATGCATTGTGGGCAACTTAAAAACGTCCATTTTCCAGCATGTTGTAAGTGAAATTTTCACTGCGTAGGTAATGGTTTAGCCTTTACGTTTTTGGGAATCCACAATTAATGTCGGTATGAAAACAACGTAATTTAAATCAATAAAACCTGTTTATCAAACGTAGGCTACGTTGAACTGAGTAGGCCAAGCCATCACGGTAAAAGTATCCGTTCTAAATAATTGTTAAATGTTAGCCGGACCGGACAGCTCCCTGGCTAAGCCCTTGGCTGGTTTTATGGTGCATTACTTGGTCCGAACAGAGGCAGTCTGTCTTAGATACAGCTCTGTTATATCTCGTCTCTCCTATCTATTCCTATCTTCCATTAGTTTTAACCAATTAACTCTATCAAAGGCCTTTTTAGAAATCTATAAAGCATACATACACATCTTGTTGAAATTCAATACAATGCTCACTTAAGACATGCATTACTCCCATTGCATCTCTAGTTCCACAACCCTTTTCAAATCCAAACTGATCTATTCTAATCCATTCGTTTGCCCTCTTCTCCATTTGTGTGGTAAGTAGCAGTATGTTAGCTGATGGTACGATGATCCTTGTATCAATTGGCATTTTTCTTTTTAACCAGTAGCAACAGAATACTCTTAGAAATGTCCTCTGGCCAGAGAGGATATTTATATTAGTAAACATAATTAAATATCACACTTTCCTATTTTGTAATGTAGTATTAGTTAAACTACAGTAAATATAATGCTCAACAAAATAATGATAACCACATAACATTATTATTTCATTAGATACAAAATTAAGATAACATTATCTATGAATGAATTAGAAAGCATGGTCATTTACTTACTTTGACATGTTCCTCTGTGTAATGGACGAATGGTGGCTCAACATCTGTAATCTGTATGCATTGTGCAGTGTTGCTAGGCAACCAAGAAGAGCTTTTACATTCTTTGAATCTGGTACATCTGTCAAAAAATAATATAGGAAACAAGTTAAAGATAACCTAATATAATTGAAACTATACTACTTAGTATTATTAAGGTTGTCAAGTTTCAATGCAATTGACTACAGTGAACATTGAACAAGCTACATCATTACAAGGTTTGAAATCAACGCTTTGGACAAACATAAACAATGGTACAATTACCATTGCACCACCTAAAAGCAAGTACTGTTGCATTATGGGCTTCAATTTGATGAAGCAGTCGATTTTCATGTATTGAAATGGTTTTATATGGTTATGTGGTATTGATGTTGCGCCAAGTGGTATTGTAGTATGATGTATGTACAACAAGAGACGCACCCATGGCGCTTATATCCCTACCCCAGTATTGATCTAGATTAATGATGGCTATAATACAGAATTATATATATATTTAACTCACACTTTCTCAAGAGTACACCAACCACAATATGGGTCTCCATCTTGGTCTCCAGTTGGTCTGACACACTCATCACACATGGTAAACTGACTACAGTTAGCTACTGGTAGCTTTAGCAACTAAAAACAGATTATTAAACAACACTGTAACTTCTAGAATGATGGAAATTATCTACTGAACATAATAAATATTTGAAATAAATCACAAAAAAGAGTGATGAAAATTATGTTAATAAAAATTAAAAAGGTCACTACCAGTAAAATAGTAAAACACCTATAATCTTGACCAATTAAAAAAAATACTAATCCATC